CCCGCGCCCGCCGGCTGGGCGGGGGCTGGGGCTGGGGCTGGGCCCGGCTGGAGCCGGGAGGGACCGCGGAGGGAGCCATCAGCGAACGCCCCGCCCACGGCGCTGGCACCCGGGCTCCACCTGAGCCCTGGTCTCGCGGTGCTGGTGTTGGAGACAGCGCAGATCTGGGCAGGGAGCATCAGGGGCCACGGAGGGGTGTTCTTTGTGTTTCCTGCTGCCAAGTGCGTGGCGCACTGGAGAAGCCAGGTGGGCCATGGGCACCAGAGGACAGAGGCGTCCCTGTTTGCCCAGGGGGTTTGTAGGAACGCCAGTAGCTGAAACGTGGGGCTTTGTTCTCCTTAACATTCAGAAAACTTCAGCTTCAGAGTCAATGAGCCTGTCTTTCTCTGAAAACCCACCAGGACTTCAAGGATGTTTTCCATTAAAAACAAAAACAGGGCCGGCCATGGTGTGGTGGTGAGGATGAGTGATGCCAAATGTCCAGCTGCCGGGTGAGTCTCACACCTGCAGCCTGGGAACCTGCTGGGGGGCCCACGCAAAATCCTGCAAGAGAATGGGGGACAAGGCAGTGCAGACGGGCGCTCGCCCTGGCCTGCTTCCTCACTCCCTCACCTCTTCCAGCAACTGCAGGTGCCCCTAACAAAATGCTGAAGACGCAGGTCTTGAGCTGGAGGAGAAGGCAGGGCCAGGAGGGGGCCTGCCCTGTGTTGCCCACGGGGCCCTGCGCTGCCCAGCGCCACATGTCCAAGAGGACACAGGGTGGGTAGAGGAGACATGAGCGTAGAGAAGGCAAGGAGAGCTGGAGCAGGCCCTGGGCGCGAGGGAGAACGCCTCCGGAAGTCCTGGCCTCCGGAAGTCCTGGCCTCCGGAAGTCCGTGACTGTGCCCATGCCTTCTCCTGCCCCCGAGGCCTTCTCCTGCCCCGTGCTCTCTGCTTGCACCTGCCCTGCCCTCTGTGCCCATGCCTTCTCCTGCCCCCGAGGCCTCCTGCCCCGTGCTCTCTGCTTGCACCTGGCCTGCCCTGCCCTGCCCTGCCCTGGTTAAGGTTTCCAGGCTGCTGGCCGCGGGCACTCGCTGAAGGCGAGAGGGCACCTTCCACACCCACCTCCGCAGTGGGCCGGCCTGACTGCCCTGGCCTCTGCACCTCTCTGAAGTCCAGCGTGGTCCCTCCAGGAAACAGGCAAGCAGAGGTGTTTCCATCTGCACTCGTTTAAGAGAAAATTCCCCCTCCCACGCTCCCAGACCCCGGGAACATCACGGACACACCTGGGCAGAATCCAAGGCAGTGTGTCCTTCGGAGCTGACAGATAAACCACCTCGTGGCAGAGCGGCTGGTACCCGTGCCACAGCCAGACTGTCGCTCCAGTGTGACTGCCTGGCCCAGATTCTGAGAGGCCAGGATGTGGGTAGCAGGGAGCTTTATGCTTTGGCCCAGAGCAGAAAGAGAAAGCTGGGGTAACGCCGACTGCAAGGTGGCATGGCTCTGACTCCCCCTCAGGGCTGCCACTCCCTATCTTAGTCATGCCTGCGGCCCTGCCCGCCAAGGCGCTGGGGACCTACGCTGTTACCAACGCTACCTGAGAGCATGGCCAGGCCGTGCCGGGGCTCAAGCTGTCTGCGTCTTCTAGTTACTGCTCAGAAGTGGGAGGGGCTCCACGCATGCCCTGCACATCCTTGGGCCCCTGAGCCACTGTGGCCTGAGGTCACCGAGACCCCAGGCAAGGAGGCTGTGCAGTGGCGAGCAGCCATGCCCCATGCACCTGAATCAGTTGACTCCTGGAGGATCCCAGCCATGGGTGAGCTCTGCAGTTCCTGTCACGGCTACACCCTCACAAGTTCAGTGTGAGAACTGCTCAGTCCTCCAGAGACTCTTCTCAAACTCACACCCCTGCACGGTCCCTGGGGCTCATCAGTGTCTGTCAACATCTCAGGAAGGATTTACCGCTCACCTGCGGGGCCATGCACAGGACCCAGGCTGGCCCTCTCCATGACCACGACCGGAGCACGACCAGAGCAGACCTGGAAGGCGGAGGTGTGGACCAGCTGAGAGCTGTTTCCAGGGTCCCTAAGCCTCACCGAGGAAGGGGAGCCCAGGGATGCTCCGATGTGTAGGGTGGGGATAAGGAAACCCCTCCGGGTGCCCCCTTCACTTCTCGGTAAAGAGCTTACACTACTAGTTTACATCTACAGTGGATCTGGAGATGATGGGAAGTTCACAGATACCTGTGAGGTTACACAGGGCCCTTCAAAGGCTGACCTGCTGGCACTGGGTCATGTGGGTGTTGGCTGTACCCACCCCCAGGCTCCCTGACCCCTCATTGGCCAGCTCTGTCATCATGGACCTGAGGTGGAAGGTAGTGGCCAGGCTGGGCTGTGCCATTCAGAACCTCTCCATGGAGGGACCAGCTGTTAGCGTAACAGCTATGTTGCTGGACTCCCATGTAGTCGACCGCGGTTCGAGTCCCGGACTCGGTGGCTTAAACTCACGCTGGGCGTGTGTACGTGCGTGCCCAAGATCCCGAGAGGAGAATGAAGGACAAGGGATTGTGGTGTGTCCATCCCCCCTGGGGGGTGACTTCTCACTTTCTGTCTCTCTGTCTCTCTCTGTCTTTCTGGCGAGTGCACGTGCCCTATAGCAAAAACCTCTCAAACAAAACAAAACAAAACAAAAAGAACCTCTCCATGGAACACGCTGGCCTCTGTCCCTGGGGCCAAGTTTGCTCATATGACTTGGAGTGCTTGCAGAAGCAAAGGGGCAGGGCGTCCTGCCATCTGCCACAACCTGGTGACCTTGGAGGACACAGCAGAAGTGACACAAGCCAGTCATAGGAAGACACTGCACAAGTCCAATTACATGTGGCATGTGGAACGGGGAGCTCATGGAAGCAAAGGAGAGAATGGTGGCTGCCGGGCTGCTGAGAGGGGACACAGGGCACTCCTCTGCAGGCAGGAGTCCGAGCTGTGTGTGCTCTGAGGATGTGGAGGTTGGCCGATAGCACAGCCCGTGAGCACGATGCACCCACACTTAGATAGCACCTAGCAGTATTCTCGAAGTAAGTGCTCTTACCACATGGGCATAAAACAGGCTGCCTTGGGGCCAGCAGGTCATGTGATTAAGGCACTGGACTCCCACATGGCCGACTATGGTTTGAGCCCCAGACCCGACCCGGTGACTTGGAACTCACACCGAG